TTTTTCTTGCTGCTGTTCATAGTTTTCAAGTGATGTAGTTTCTATCATCTGGTACAGTTTTTGTTTGTGATTCTCTAATGCCAGTCCATGAGATTAGAAGAAGGATGGTCCTTGTTGAGATTGACATGTTTCACTTGCTCAAAACCATTTTAACTATCAATCCTAGAAAGCAGTCATATACAGCTGAACGATTTTGGCACCATGCATGTCAACCATATGAAAATCTTGACCTGACAAGACTATTTAACTATACAGCTCTAATTTTACAATGTTAGGTGAAGCTACTCTATTTTCTATACAAGGAAGTATTAAAAGTGCTTAAAGTTAACTGATAAGCAATTTCCTGGAATTGGTGATGACATATATGCTATCATTTGTTCACTTACCAGAACAAAAGCTAAATTGGGTTTTGAGGAGTTGATTTTCATAGAACAATGACAACCTAGTTAATACAATGTTCATTAGTACCTTCCCCATAATGGTTCCAATTGAGATATCTCTGTATGTGTGATGGTCTTGAGGGTTACCTTTTTATTTCCATAGTACAAAACACCACATTTTTTGAGGGGATGCACTTATAATTCCAGATTTCCTTTATAATTTTTTTTTTTAAATTCAGGAAGAGGGTATGCAATGTTTAATAGTTTGGACTTTATGTCAAGTAATGCTTTATCATTCTTTAGCAATATTTATCACTTTCTTTACTTCCTCATTATACAATTCATTATTGTTTATGTTTGGAAGCAGATATTGTAATGCTGTGATTGTATATTGGTGTATGTTATAATTCTGCAGACATTTTCAATCTAGTGTGGTCAATGTTGAAGTGTGACAGTGTTTTTTCAGACTAGGCCAACTCTTCTGTTTTCGTTTCAGTTTTAGGATGCTATCATGATTTTCCACCTTTCTCCACATTTCAATACAATACCTATACATTTGACATTATTAGTTTAGTTTCCAATTTTTCAGAGATATTGGTTTCTTAGAAAATTAACTAAATTTTTCATTACTTTGTTAATCGTTTAGTATTTTCCCTTCAATTTTTCCTAAACTTCTTTCCAGTAACAATCTTTTCAAATCAGCATTGTTATAAAATGGAGAGTCTTTTCCCATTTAAATATTGATCGAAGTTTTTCTTTAGCTAAAGAGTATAAGATAACATTATTTGATTTCTGTTACTATATATATATATATATATATATATATATATACACACACACAATCATTGAATAATTGTATACTGTATGAATCACAAAAGAGTACCACATCTGTTATAATATCCTTATAGACCAACATTTTTCTGGATTGGAGTGGATATTTTATGGTACCACGTCTCAAACATTCTCAAGCTTACCACAGTTTTGAAAAAAAAAAAAATGTGTATATAAAATATATATATATATATATATATATATATATATATATATATACCGAGACACAAAATTATTCATACGATACAGTAAATTTCATTTAATATAATTCATTCTTCACATATTGAAACAGATGTTTTTCATACATAAAAGATAAAAATATTCATAATTCATTTCAGATATTTTTTATTTGATACAAAAGCTTTATAAACACATTAAAAAATTAGTAAAGACAAAATTTTTTATATGCCAGAAAATTATTTTTATTACTTATGAAATTTGTAAAATATATCATCTTTTATGTGTCATGTCCCTTCAGGACATAGGCAATCATGACTCTCCATTTCCTCCTGTCCTTTGTAGCTCTCAATAAGCTTTAACTTTTTATTTGTCCCACACACTGTTCTGCCATCCACTTGCTTAAGCCTGTTAAATATTATCACATATTGCTTTTCCTTGTCTCTCTTTCCCTCTATCTATTTTGTGAGTATCAGATTTTCCAAGCCCTCCTTTCTGATTACGTGTCCCAAAAATTTCAGCTGCCTGAATGAGTTTCCTTTCTGTTTACATCCTCTCCAAAACCTCAACATTGGTCACATGTTTGGTCCATGGTATCCTTAGCATCCTTCTATAGAACCACACCTCTGTTGCCTCGAGTCTCTTCTTCATCTTTGAGGAGACTGTCCAACATTTGCTGCCATAAAGGAGGACAGATATCACATAGCAGTTCAGTACCCTTTTCTTTGTTACCAATGAAAGCCTCCTGTCTTGTAATACTCTGCCTAGATTTTGGAATGTGTCTTTAGCCATCCCAATATGTCTTCAGATCTCAACATTGCACTTACCATCCTCTGTCAGAATACTTCCCAGATATTTAAATTTCCGCATTTTATTTCCGCAGTTTATGCTTAGTCCCTTCTTCTCACCCTCTTTTGTTACCTTCTGTAGGAGGTTTTGTAGTTTCCTTCCATATCAAATTTGCATTTGCTTGATTTTAGTGTTCCGACTTATAACTCACATTTTGTGCTCATCTTTTTGCTGATGACTATACATTCTGTCTTCTTGTAATTTATGCTTAGTCCCTTCTTCTCACCCTCTTTTGCTACCTTCTGTAGGAGGTTTTGTAGTTTCCTTTCCATATCTGCTATCAGCACAATGTAATCTGTGTATCTTATGTTGTTAAGATTATGGCCATCAATGATGGATCCTGGTAGGCTTTCCAGTTCTCTTGCTGTATAGGTTAAATAAGTCCAGTGAGAACACACATGCTTGCCTTATACCTCTTTCTATTTTTGTATATATATTTATGCAAGCATTTTTTTGCCTATAGAGGTTTTTGATTATTCTAATATCTTTCCCAAATATGTCAAGGTTGCTGACAGATCTTTATGGTGTACTTTGTCAAATGCCTTTTCATAGACTATAAAACACAGGTGCATGTTCTGAATTTGTATTGCTCTTTGTGATAATATTCTGAGCATGAATATCACTTTCCTTGTTCTGGTATCTTTAATGAACCTGCATTGTTCTTGTCTTATCTCTCACCTGATTCTGCTGCATGCTCTATTCATCAGAATACAGATGATTATTTTTGTTATGTTAGGCTGATTTTTCAGTGGAGTTCACATTCATTTGCACTTTGGTTTCTTAAACAGTTCTTTGAAAATAGATCTGCTTAGGTCTTCCAGTATATCTGTTGTAGATTTAATTTATTATTTTGTCTATCCCAAAATCATCTAAGGCTATCAGCATCTCTGTTACTATTCCATCTGGCCCTGCTGCCTTGTTTTTGTTCAATTTGACCAGTACTGCTTCTACTTTGGTTTTTAGAATTTCAGACTCGTCAGTAATTCTGTGTATTGCTGGTTGTTCATTTTGTTGTCAAAGAATTCTCCAATATATTCATTCCAGTGTTGGAGAATTTTTCCTTCTCTAAAATGAGCATATCATCCTTGAATTTTATGCAGCCTGTTGACGAGCAAGTTTTCTGTCCTGTTAGTTCCCTTATTTATTTATGTATATCTCCTTTGTTGGTGCTACTCAATCTCTCTATTTCTGCACATTTTTTGTTTAGTCACTCTTCTTTAGCCTTCCTGCATTTGGTCCTTATTTCGTTGTGTATTTTTCTGTATTCCATTCTGTATCTTGGCAGAGTTTTCTGTCTCCTTTTCATCATGTCAAGAATCTCATCAATGACCCACTCATTTTTTCCTTCTTTGTCCTTTTTCTTTTGGGATGATATCATTTGCTGATGTCACTAAAGCTTCTCTTAGTGTGTCTTATTTTGAGTTTCCATTTTGTCCCTTGCATCTACTCTTTACACTGTCCATATATTTTTCCTTCAGGTTCGGGTCTTTCAAGAGTTTTGTTGTATTGCAATTTGGGTACTGTGTTGGGCTTCAGTTTCCATAGTTTCACTCTTAGTTTACATATGACAGGGTAATGGTCACTTCCACAGTCAGCACTTAGGTAGGTTTTGCAGTGAACCATTGCATTCCTGAATCTTTTATGTTAAGGTAATCTCTAAGGTTTGTGAATTATACATTTTTAAAAGAACTTAAGTTTACCATCATGAACATGTACATTGTTCCTTTCAAGCTGAACATCAACAACAATAACATGGTGAAGGTGAATTTAAAACAATGAATTGTGTATGCTTGCAATTCAGGAATATCTTTCCTAGACTACGCCCTTCACATTTACAAACACAGATGTGATGAGATTGGTACTAGCCATTTAAGCATTCCATACAACATCCCAAATGATTCTACCAACAGCAGACAATGATCATGCTTTCCCTCCTAAGGCCAATGTTCTGTTGATGAAGAGGGATATGCTGATGATATAGGTATTCATATTTGAAGTAGGAAGATTGTATTTCACCAATCTTCCAACTGAAGTAGCCTTGCCTGCCTTGGAAATCGGCATTCAAAACATTGGAATTTACCTTGGCTTGAACACTGATTTCTGTTACCAGTGGAAAATATCTAACTCAGACAAGACACAAACCTTCTTATTTTGGAAGACTAGAGCAACACACTCTTCCTACCTTTATGTCCTCTTATTTAGCATTATAGTATATGAAGCTAATCTGAATAAATATCAATATTAAAGATCATTACAAAAAGCAAGACCAAGAAGAATTAAGATGATACAGAGAAAAGAAACTGACTGCATAAATAAAAAGATCTATGCAGCTAAGAATGTATGGAATATAGTAACTAATAAAAGCTTGGTTTTATTGAACTCAAACAAAAGAGTAAAATGTTTTATGCAAATGATACAAATCTAGAATATGAAATCCAATTATTTGGGGTTAGATTTTCTTTTTTACCCCCATTTTTTACTCCATCTTTTCTTACCTTTTCATGTTCTCCTCTTCTTTCATTTTTTTCTTCTCTTCTTTATTTTATCATTTTATTCTTTCCTTTTAACCTTTCAACTCTTTTTCTCTTTGTCTTCAGTTTTTCTTTGTCTTTTTCTCTTTCATTACTATCATAATTTTATCTTTTACTTTTTTACTTTCTTCTATTTCAGAATTTGTGTGATTTTGATCTTATATATCATTGAATAAATAATAATATATTATGCAAGCCAATTAATGCTTTTACTATTTTCTTTGTTGCTTAGTCATTCTTTCTTCTTTTTATCTTTTTCCTTCATCTTGTCTGTCTATTATTTTTCTCTCTTTCCTCATTTTCTTTTATTTTTCATTCTTCATTTCAATACATTTTCCTTCTTTTTCCTTTTCTTACCTTCTTCATTTCATTTTTCTTTTCATTTATATTTTCTCTTTCAGTTTTTAGTTTTCTTATTTTCAGTTCTCATTCCTTATTTTTAAACTTAAGTTTTTCTTTCCTTTTCATGCTTTCTTTCACTGAATTTTCATCCTTCTTATATTTTTTCCATTTACAATATTTTTTTATTTTCTCATTCCTTTTTTCTTTCCTTTTATTTTTTCTTCTCTTTCTTCCTTACACCTGCATCTCCATCTACCCTCCCGTTCAAACATCTGCAATGAAACCTTACAAATGCTTTGCACCTGCCTTATCACTACTCGGAATTAATTTAACGGTTAAACAAAAACAAAAATAATAAAGATAAAAGAAATAAAAAAAATAAAAGAAATTATGAACAACTTCAGAAAAAAATAAACACCATTACCAATCCTTCTAATCCCATTAACATTAAGTTGGAATATTTTGCTTCAATTATTGGCCTCACCTGGTTTTATGCATTTAGAAGGTTTTTTCTGTGGACAGTGTACAAGTTGCGATAGACTAGACATTTTTCTACATAATTTATGCAATACTCAGAATAAGAATCTCATTGACTAGCAAGGTTATTTGGTACTGTTAGGTAAAAATATTCTTAAGACTGTTATTAGCTTCTGTTGCCAAACTTATTTTCTCAAATACACATTAAAAGCACCAAATATGAACGAGAAAAGAATAAATATAAATATTTACAAAGAGTTAAAGAAGACATGTTTTTGTTTGGGGTTTTGTTAATATTTTAAACTGCTGAAAATTATGAGGTGAAGTATTTTCATTTTTCCACTCATTTTAATTTTTGATTGGTTTATTCATGTTTCTTGCTTTTTATCACTAAGATTTGTGAGAATATTAAGAACAACAAATATACCTGAATAAGATACAATCCTCAATCCCCAAGAGAGCTTACCATCATTGTTTATGTCCAATCTGAGAATTTAACTTGAAAGCCAAAGAATAGTCCAGCTTAAAATATTGTAATTAAAATCAACAAGACTACAGAGAATGAAATAATTTATCTCAGACTATAAAAGCATTTAAAATCATAACATTGAGTATTATAACAATTTCATTAAGTAAATATAAATACATTTTTTTTATTTTTAACTTTTTCTGTTTTACACTATTTACATGCATATTATTGACTCATCTTTGTTGTCCTGTGGATAATAGCCTAGTTTCAAATGAGAACTCATTGAAAGAATTTATAACAAAAGAACAAACGTCAATTTTTTCACCACAAAGTGGACTCCACAAACCAAGTTTGAATTCCAAATGAGTCTATTGCATTCATATTAAACTAATCCTCTTAAGAAAAGTATGAATCTAACCCTTCCCCATGACTATAGATTAAATAAACTGGGCTCTCTAGACTTGGGTAAAAACCAGTCTTGGAAGACTACTCTAAATTCAAAACTATTGCAATGAGAAACCATCCTATTCTTTCCCAAGAAATATATAAAAAAGAGTTGCAGAGAGACATGACTGCCAACAGTCTGAAGAGATGTGGCATTCTTAAAAAATAATAAATAAAAACATATTATTTTTAATTTTTAAAAGTGTCACCTAGAGAAGAGAGAGCTTCTTAAATTTTTATAATGTTACCCCTCACCACTGAAACAAATCTATTTACATTTGGAATAAATATAGCAAATGAATTGGACAGTAAATATCCATGTAATTAACAAATGATATACTGCATATATAATTATTTAAACTAGTAAAAAATAATTGGACAACATACAGTTGAAGAAGAATAATATATCAAATGGATTTGCAAAAATTAATATCCTTCCTATCTTCTTGTTTCAGGACAAAAATGCTAGTTCTTGGACACTAAGTGACTCAAACCTTGCCAGCAACTTGATTGATGGCAAATCAGCATTGGAATCATTTGCAGACTGGCAATCAACACAAGATCTTTTGCCACCAAAGGACCATGCTATACTGTTCACAAGGTGAGAATTCTAAATATGTGACAAGCATCAAACAAACTCAAGTTTTACGTGATATAGTTTATACAGCAGAATATATTTCATTTCTTTGATGGAAGTGTTAAACCTCATAGTGTAATCTTCAGATTTGATTTTGAATTCATTATCATCATAACAGTGTGTGGTTGTAGGGTCACTGTACAGCTGAACACCAGATCAGATCCCTCCACATAATAGAGATACTATATGGTGGAGTAAAGTATGTTGAACAAAATATTTGACAGTATCTCAACATTCAATTGTGAACATGTTTTTTAATGATTTTAATGCTCATCATGCCAAATGGTTTCATCATTCTAATACTATTGATGTTGCTGGCATTGAAACTTTCAATTTTTCTGTTGCTCACTCTCAAACAGTCAAATAATTGATTTCTCTACTTATTCCCATTATAATTCTGACCAACTCAATTTGTTCCTTACCACCTCTCCTGACTCTGATCATGCTGTAATGTTTGTTGATATTTCCTTTGACTTGTATATTAGGCATGAAGCTCCTTTTCACAAGACTTCTTTTTGCAGTCAGCATGCTGACTGGAATTCATTTCACAATTTTTTTCACAATGCCCCTTTCCAAGTGAAAACTTTAGTCTTCCTACTGATAATTGTGCCTTAATTTTTCTGGAATGAAAGCCCACATCAAGGCATTTGTGACTTCTTGTGAATACTGGATAAAACCACAATCTCTTTTGGTTCACACCTGTCTGTGCAACCACTATAGCTCACAAGATTCAGGAATTTCTGTATATACCAACATGATAGATCTGATCACAGCAGGTGCCTCTTTATATCCACTCATAATAATTGCAAACATGTCCTTAGAAAGGCTAAGACATTGTTGATTGAGTGAGGCACTATATAACTTCTCACAAGTTAGGTCTTCATGACTACTGACAGCTCTGTAAGAGTGTATTAAACAAGGGTAAATCCTCAATTTTTCCTAACTTCATTGAGAGCAACTCATCTTGGTTTCATATTATCTACTAACATGAAGTGGATTGATTATAATAAATCACTCGCTAAGACAGCTGTGAAGAAGAATGATTTCCTATGTCATGCTAGACAATTTTTCTCACCAGTATCTATCTTACACATTGATAAGTCTACCATTCATACATACATTGAATATTGCTGCCACATTTGGTCTGGTGCTTCTATGTCTCTAGAGATTCTTGACACAATACAAGGAAGAATCTGCAGCATTATCTGTCCAGACATGGCATCTTGGTTTCAGTCACTTTCACACAGCCGTAATGTAGCTTCCCTTTGCCTCTTCTATAAATATTTTCATGGTAATTATTCTAATGAGCTTTCCTGGTTGGTGCTTCAAGTTCCTGAATTTAAGCACTAGATTGGCAACTTGTTCTCATAATTTCATTGTTGAAATTGCTAGTTGCAGCCATACATTCTATGCTAACAGTTTATTTACTTTCACTTCCTGCTTTTGAAACTTTCTTCTGGCTTATTGCTTTTGTGTCAACTACAGTCTTCAAAAATTTAAATGCAATGTCAATTGTCTTTGTCGTTTCCATAAATCTTGTTCTTTTATTGTCCCTTTTTTTTTTTTCATTCTCAGTAACACCTTGCATCCTAGTGGCTTTTAATGCTTGGCTTGAGGGTGAAATGATTAAAAAAACACTACCCTAGTGAATTGGTATTCTCACTGAATGCTCCAGAGTTGTGAACTTGTGTCAGACTAAATGACAGCCAGTTAATACCATAGACCTGCTTTGTGGCTGAAGCAGCTGCATATTTTTCATTATCTTCAGTTGTGAGTGCCTTAATCACAGGTAAACTGCTCAAATTTTAAAAGTTGGTTTTGTCAAGAATGCAGCTGGGCAGAATGTCCCTCCTTGCATGCAGGATTGACACAGCACAACCTTCAAGTTCCAACTGACCTTGTGCTAAATGAAGTTTTGTTTGTTTAACGGCATATCAACTCCTTATGGGTCATTTAATACTGAAATTTTATTTTCTTAGAGCTTTGAAGTAATAAAAATATGTTATTCCACTTTCACAATTGAATATATGGTAGATGATACTCAGCTTTTGTGCATATACATGGTTATGTGGACATAATTACTAGAGGTAGTGATATATGTGTAGTTTTGTTAAAGTTATAATTTGAAATATAGTTTGCTTTCTTTAAGAAATTGTAGGATATTATATGGGTTAATGTCATGAAAGAGTTCTTTCATATTGGTCGTTTGGTTGGTTGATTTTGTTTAGTGGCATATCAACCTCTATGGGTTATTTAATGCCAAAATCTAAACATCTTGAATGCAATTGCATGCTTTCAACTACAGATAAAATGTATTGTTGGTCATTTTGCTATAAAATGCTTTGTTGGTAATTCTGCTATAAAATGTATTGTTGGTAATTCTGCTATAAAATGTATTGTTGGTAATTTTGCTATTGTTATGGTAATTTACCCATGCACAGATGGACTCTCTCAGTTACAAATAAAAGTGGGTACTGCTTTTTAGAGAGGGTAGTTTCCAGCCGTCTGCTCTGACAGTCGGACTTAACATTCTTGCTCATTTGTATCTGATTGTATTACTGTTTTTCTGTTAATATATTTGTTAACTCATTTCTTCTCCTTGTGTCTTTATTTCTGGCCACAACAGATATAAATAGGTATTGTTGGTAATTTTACTATAAAAATGTATTTTTATACTTTCATAGTATTCTGTTTTTGTTTGATGAGCAAATCATAGCTGGGACCCTGGGTCAAGCTGAACTTGTAAACAACTGCAATTAAGATGTGGTTCTATGCACCTCTAAACTTCCAATCTCCCAATCAGAGGCCTTGCTGCTGGATATAATTTATCATCATATTCAGGACTACTAAATGAAGTTAACTTAGTTGATATAATGACATCTTAATGACAATAGAACCGTAATTTCCCTCTCCAGTTTTCTTGGGATATTTAACAAATAATAAAATCAATATAATAAAATAATCAACAAGTCTCAAGAATAAATGTCTAATAAAACTATAAATATATAAAAGAAAAAAGTAGACATTTTAATTACTTTCTAAGTCTAATTTGACACAATCCTAATTGTTGAGTACCTTCGGAAAATTCAACAAATCAACCTGAAATTAAGTTAAAATTTGTTAAAATAGCTATCTTCACTATTATGATATTATGTTACATTACATATAACATCATATATATTCAGATAGTCATTGTGATGATCAGTAACTTCGAGTCATAGATTGTTGATAGTGCAGTGTGTTTGAACTGCACATTGTGCCTCACTATAGAAAACTTGTCTCAGACAAGGCCAAAATTACTAGATTTCTATATTAAATTAGTTATTAATGAAGCTTAGATTATTCTAGAATACGCCTACAACAGTGGATCATCCTGTGAAAACCATATAGTTAATTCATCAGCAAGCTGAGCTTATATATCACCATAGTAGGCAGTAGGCACACTTACATTTTATTTATATATATGTGTGTGTGTGTGTGTGTGTGTGTGTGTGTGTGTGTGTGTGTGCAGATATGTAGAAAAATAGGAAAGAACACATTAGGTAAATAATCCGGAGTTCTTTAGTATTTTTGTTTTTATTTTTAAAAAACAGTGCTCCATACAGAAATAGAGCTTAAATTATTATTATTTTTTGAAAAATATTTTTTTTTAGGTGAAGGAATCATATTTTTAAAAAAATAACTAAATATATATATATATATATATATATGTGTGTGTGTGTGTGTGTGTGTGTGTGTGTATGTATATAAAAAATACTAATTTGTAGTTGGTAGGGATAATTCCAAGGAAGGCATTAATCCAAAGAGGGCTCAATGTAAGTTAAAGAGCAATATAATAATAAATAAAGAAAACCCTAAAAATCCATCTTGGCTATAATTTATTTCATGAATATTTTTATATTCATTTTTTCTGACCGAAAGTTTTTTAGACATGGAATCTATCTAACCAGAAAGATAAAAAAAAAAAGTGGGGAAAGTGGGGAAAAAGAAAAAGGAAGAAATTTTAATAATAAAAAAGGAAGGAAAATAAAAATTTCAAAATAAAAGAGAGAGAGAGAGAGAGAGAGAAATAAAAGAAAGAAGGAAGAAATAAATGAAAAGTCAATAGCAAAAATAAAATAGGATTACCTAGAAAAAAATTTTCCTTAAAGGGCTGAACAAGTTAATATACTGGTTAATAATTTATATTTTACTATTATTAATAGTATTATCTTTATTATTTTTATCCTTATCTATTTCTTATATTTTAAATTTGTTCTTTATAATTATCCCTTGATTTATTTTTTTATATTATTTTTTTATTTATGTTGGATATTATTATTATTAGTTTAAAATTGTGATGATTATTATTATATGATGATGATGATTGCTGACTCCATTAGACAATTTGCTGTAACTATTTTAATTCTGATCACCTACTCCCTTATCTGGTATATTAACTTGTTCAGCACTTTAAGGAAACATTTCTAGGTCATCCTATTTCATTTTTCTATTGGCTCTTCATTTATTTCTTCCTTCTTTCCTTTCTCTCTCTCACCCACTCTCCACTCTCTTTCTTTCTTTCTTTCTTTCTTTCTTTCTTCCCTTAATTTAAAAAAAAAAAATAAAAGATAAAAAAAATTTTATAATTGGAATGTTTTATTTTCCTTCTTCCTTATTTTTATTATTAAAATTTTTTCCTTTTCTTTTTCTCTCCCTTTTCTTTTTACCTGGCTGGTCAGATTGATACCATTTCTAAAAAGCTTTCGGTCTGAATATAAAATATTAATGAAATAAATTATAACTGAAATGGATTTTTTAGAGTCTTCTTTGAGATATGTATATATATATATATATATATATATATATATATATTTATTTATATTTATATAAATATATTTATTTATATATATATATATATATATATATAATATATATATATATATATATATATATATATATATATGTGTGTGTATATAAAAATCATATATTTTTTCATTTTATTTCAGGAAACGCATTGACTTAGATGGGAATCCTGAAGCAAAAGGTAAGATTTTTCTTGTAATCCTTTCAAACATTTCAGTCCAACCACTTATCAAGATCAAATTGGTTATGGAAGTTCAACAGGTGATGGGGGTATTTATTGGAAGTTTTCTCTTAGATTACAACTCTAACTGACAAAGAAATACCATGTTTTAATCAGTATTCCTCAGTTCAAAATTCTTTTGTAAAAATTAGCACTATTTTATTATAAGCATTATTCCATTCTTTATAATTTAAAATCGTCTCACTCAATTTTAAAGCAATTCCTTTCTTTGACTCTCCAACTAAAAAGAAAAATGCTAGGATTTTTAAACTAGTGAAAAGTCATTTAATTCAACTCCAAACCATGTTAAATGATAAAGAGAAAGTGTAGACTATCAACTGAGAGGTTTGGCAAGAAGCAATATGAAACATCCATTAAAAGAAAAAACTTTCTCAAAATCTAATGATAAAAATTTTCTTTAAATAATAATGACAATAATTTTAAGTGTAAATCAATCACTTAATGCACTTTTTTCTAATTACGCTAGGATCAAGTGGCAGAGGAGATGTTATAGTCAAGAGGTAGGCAGTTCCACCCAAATAAAGTGTTAATGCTATTGATTGCAACCAAACTAAAAAAAATTCTTAACCATGAAAAAAATTTTATGGCCAAATAATTAAAGCAGTAATGATTAGTTTAAAATAATAAAAATGAGTTTGAGTAGTTAAAAATAAAAAAAACAAGAGATAAAATATATTTTAAAAATTACTGTGAAGTTAGTTTTCAAGTTCATCTCTTGGAAATGCAGGTAGCATGACTGTTATTAGCATAGAAAGTGGAATCGGTGAACTGAGTTCAAAATTCCACGTTTGTTTGAGGCATTCATTTCCACAGTAATCCTCTTGGGAAAGGCATGAATTCATCTCTTTTGCCCACAATTATGAGTTAAATAGCAGAGTAGACTCGGATTACTAGCCTTGCATAGCAGCCAAAGACAAGTACCACTCTGAATTCAAAAACACGGAGAAGACAATTGGAAACCACTCCACTATCTTTCCCAGGAAATAATGGCAATCAGCAAATAGTAAATGAAATAGAAACTGTACAGGACCCTGATTACTTATATTCTTAAGGGACATAGCATTAAAAAAATACTATTTCTATGTTATTGGTGAATTAATAAACTGTTTCCTGTTCTAAGATAAAATATGTCCATTATTCCATATAATTTCAACATGGAGACACTTTTGGATTAGTAAGATGGGATTGAAATCTATACACAATTTACTAATACATATGAGTTTGAGAAAGACAAAAACAGAGAGAAACACAAAATAAATAATTTTCAGTAAATAAGCTCTAATTTGAATTGAACTCGGAACTATATATGATGTAAGTAAAAAAAAAAAAAATTAATTCTGTATCAATGATCTGAGCAACCAACAAGAAGTAGACAATGTCAGATAACTTTAAAAACATTATTAAATGATGTATCACACTGAGATATAAATCTGTAGCCAGACAGTTTGAGAAGCAAAAGTGAATATATTGAATTTACTTCTTTGAAATTTTAGAGATCAAAATTTCTTGCTTCTTATCTAGCTTCTAGGCTCACAGACATAGGTTTGTGGATCAAAGCATTTAATCTCTATCATGAGGCAGATAAGAAAAAAAATGTCAAAAGTATGTATCAACTGATTAGAGGATAAATGTGCTTCTTATTTATATAATGCAGGTATTACCTACATGAGTGGAATCTGCAGTGGAAAATATTCTGCTTCTGTGGTTAACAGTGGATCAGAGAACTTGGGCATTGTGACTGCAACTCGCCTCCTTGGACACAGGTGAGAACTTTATTAATTGACAATATGAGTAACGTAATATTATTCTTGAGAATTTAGGAGAATATGCATGCTAATATATAGAGAATATATAAAATAAAAAGTTCAAAATTCATCTTCCCAAGTTTAAAAAATGTTATCCACACATCAGATTGTTAGACAGTTCAATACTAAAGGCATTGACTGCTTGCTAGCCTGCCTGCCATGAAAATCAGCTTTTAAACTCCTATCTTTTGCCTAGTCCAGTGAAATACACAACTGTCTTGCTCATCCAGAAATTTAGCAAGTATTTGCAATATTTATTATAGAATCATGTGATTCCCTATTTTTGTAGAATAAATGCTTTTGTCTAGTCTCAAACAATAGCCTTCAGTGCTAATGTGAAATACACAACCTTCTTGCTTATCCAACAATTTAGTAAGTATTTGCTATATTTATTAATGATTCATGTTATTCCCTATTTTTGTAGAGTAAATGCTTAAATGTATTTCATTTTTTTTTTTTCATAATACAATTCTCACTTTACAGTAAATCCTGTCTTTTATGAAAACATTAACAGGGCAAATTTATGTGAAAAGAAATTCTCATTTTAGCATTTTTTTTGCATTGTTCTTACAGCCATTTTTATTGGGAATATTTTCATCAAAAAATCAAAATAGATATGTTCATCAATTATTACAGACAGGGAATGTGCCAAGTTTAGATTTGATATAAAATGAACCTTTAAAAATAAAACCAACATATAAACATTTTATCAAAAAACTCATCTAATGAACAATATGCATTTGTGAACACTGAAAAGTAAAGATGACAGTTTTTGCAACATATTAGTATTCACTAGCCTTATACACATGAGATGGCTGATGATAAAATGTAAATTAACATTATAAATCACTGTCACCAAGCAAAATCAGTTGTATACACAGGTTAGCCATTTATGGGTGGAGGTACAAAGTAAATAAGGTTAAATAAGTAAATGTCTTTTTTTATTTGAGTGCTTTACATAGTCTTAAAATACAAATAGAGACATTGATTATCACCTAAGAATTTGCCTGATATATGGCTGGGGATTTCAAAAGGCTGATTTTCAAAGCAAGTAGGCTTTCTTCATTTTGAATCCTAACCCTTTTCTACCAATCAACTTTGCCCCAAATTAAACTAAGCTAAATTAATATATTTTTCATTTAAGTGCTTTACATGGTTTTAGAATATGAATACAGGGCACAATGGGTAATTTGTCACCATTTTATATTTTTGATTTCATGTTTGTGCATTGTTTGTTTTTTATTTTGTTGGTTGCACAGTATAGTACAGTTAGTTGGGAACTGTCTATAAAAAAAAAGAGTACCGTGATACAATTCACTCTGCCAAAAGATTTGGACACAACAATATGAACTTTTCAGAGTGCTTGGGTGTCAATCTGAGGAGAGTGCAGAGGATTCAGAAAGAGTTGGATGAGTCTAATGGTGATTACAATGGTGTTCGAAGTGATCACTAGTGATGGTGATGTCAGGCCTCTATTCATCTTCCCACAGGGTCTCATACTCAACATGGAGGCTTACATCAAGTGCTTTGAAGAGATAGTGCTGCTCTGGGTCAAGAGGGTGGCTTCTGGAAGACCCTATGTCTGGCAACAGGACTCTGCACCATGCCACACAAGTGCTCCATATTTTCGGTCTTGTGCCACATCTAAACTACACTTGAAAACCTCCAACCTAAGAATTGGCCTGCTATATAGCTGGGGGTACTGTTTTACCATTAGTGTCAGTACTCAGTGTTTAGGCTTAGGTTAAAAGCAAGGATTTTGAATGCTGATTTTCAAGGCAAGCAGGCAGTCTTCTCTTTGAATCCTAACCCTTATTCCCTACGCATAACCAGGCTTAAAAAATCAAAAAGTCAAACTAAGCTAAAAAAAATATCTATTTTCATCTGAGAGTAATATATGATTTTAAAACCCAAACAGATGTCATCATTGGTTTCTGCCATCAGTGAATATGATAAATTTAGATTTTCATATAAATTGAAATGGTCATTCTAAGAAATAACAACCATATATGTGGACTGATTTTTGATGAGATGGGCAGTATATGAGTGGGACCATTGTATATAGCTGCTTGTTAGTACAAGAAAACAATTCTTTCAGAATATTATATGCATGAATAATGTACAGGAGGTGTAATGGATAGTGGCTCAGAATGAGAAATCAGAGAGCTGAGTTCAAATTCCAATAGAGTTTCATTACTTTCACTTATACACAAATACTCTTGGGAAAGGTATGAATCCACTTCCCCCAGCTTTGAGTTAAATAGTAAAGCAGACTGGGCTCTTCAGCCTTGGTTGGCAACCAGTTTAGGAGAAAGACAAGTCCAACTTCAAATATCATATGTAGCCCATGTGAAGCACATACTATATATGCAGCTAATGTAAGGAACATGGAATTCACAATGGCCCTATGATCTTGACTGCGATCGGACTTGTTTTTTGATAAAGTACAAAACTTTCTTCAGACTTAGAATCCCCACAGATATAGATATATCAATTAACACAGAAAATATCAAGTTTATAAATGACATCATGTGAAATCTTTAAAAACGACAACAGTAAAAGAACATTTGGCAAACATAGTTAAACATGCCTTTAATAAGCTGTAGAACAGTTTTTACCATGACACTATTTTTTAGCAATCTTCTTCAGCAATTTTTATTGTTTTATAAAGTGATGATTAGGAGTGGAATAATAAAACCTATATATATGATGAAAGTGAATTTATAAGTTTTTTGTTCTTGAGAATTTACAACAAAAATATTAAACACTATTTATTTATTAGATTGTTTATTTACAGGAATAATTTTATATTTATAACATTCTAAAAATGAATACAATTAAAAGTAATTCAATGCAATATTCATAATTTACCAATTTATAAAGAGATAAATATAAAAACAATTTTTATTCATAAATTTATAAACATTTACTAAATTATTAAAATACATGAACCAACATTAAAGAAATCCATATTATTTACAATTTTATGAAGTTTGAATTATTGGCAATTAAATGATGCATTGTCAACCATTCCAATAAATAAATAATGTAAATAAACAATCTAATAAATAGTGTTTATTATTTTTGTTGTTAATTCTCAAAAACAAAGAAAATGTATAAATTCACTTTCAAATGTTTAGGTTTCATTACAATTCTCATCATTGCTTTTTAAAATAATAATCATTGCTGAAGATTGAAGTTAGTTAAAAAAGAATTGTCATGGAAAAAAACATCCTTTTGCTACTCTGTGTTATTGCAGGCACATTTATCCATGTTTGCCCAAAAGTACATATAAACAGATCAAGCATTAAAGAGGTATAGCAGAAGAATCCATCAACTATACAAAGAATACTGAATCATTATCAGTTTAACCAAAATTGATTGATTTGTTTTTTATGGCTTATCAACCTCTTGTGGGTTTTTTTAAAATCAAAATATATTTTGGATTATAAGAACAATTTTTTTTAGTGAATATTGAATTAACAATGTTTTGAGAATAACAATGCTTTTTTTCAGATACAACTCCTACTATTTAACTCATTACTAGTTGAAGGAGATGGACCCATTTCTTTCTTAAGGGTATTTGCACATAAATGAATATAACAAACCTGACTGGAATTTGAACTCAGCTCCCTAATTTCTCATTCTGAGCCACTATCCATTACACCATCCACATCCCATTTAACCAAGAAGCCCTTCTAAAAATTCTAATGTTTGATCATTTGATCAGATTTAGGGACGTGTTTGGCTAAGAAGCTTTCATCACCCTGTCATACATACCTATTACTTCATTGATAAAGTATATATTATAATCAAATCGCACATCATTTATAATATGGACATTCTACTGGGTGCAATGGATAACTTGTTATGTAAATTACGTAAAAATGAAAATAACACTGACATCTCATTTTAACAGATATATTTACCAAAATTACACAAACACATTTTGAAATACTAAAGAGTATATTTATTCAACATCATCACCCTTGGCTTCAACTATGGCCTCCAGATGACTTTGGAATCTCCTGCATCTCTTCTAGATGGTCTCCTAAGTTGGTGAATGCTGCCATAATCCTTGCCTTCAGTTCATCTTTGATTTTACAAGGAGTTTTGTTGGTCTCTCACTCAATGGTGCCCCACACATAATAATCTGGGGTGTTAGATGACCAGATGTAAGGGGGGATGTGGTGGTGGAAATTGTCTGATACCCATGACTGTTCACCTGTTTGTGCAGCATGGTGCAGATTCTTGTTGCCAGATATAGCATCTTCCAGCAGCCACCCTATTGGGGTAGCACTACTTCCTCAAGGTATTTGATGTAGGTCTCCATATTGAGTCTGAGGCCCTCACCAAAAAATTCAGGAGTTCTTTTCTTATCAGAACGATCAGCGGAATTTTTCTGAACTGCCATACCTTCATAGTCACCATTAGACTCATCCATCTCTTTCCAAATCTTCTGCACTGTCCTCAGGTTGACACCCAAACACTCTGAAATGTTTATATTGGAGCTTACAGCAAGCAGTACAGCATGCTGTTTCCAAATTTCTGGCTGAGTGAATTGCATAATGGTGCTCTTTTTCTCACAGACAGTGCCCACCTGACCCTACTATACTGTGCAGTTGACAAAACAAACAATGCATGTGCAAAATTAAAAATATAAAAGGGCAACAATTTACCCATCCCACCCTGTATATAATATATTACATATTTTAAGCATTTTCAATACATAACACAGTATAATGCAACAACACAAATTTTGGCTTTTAATTCTGATGCAAAATTCTTCAGCTTATAACAGATATAGATATTTAGCAAGCCTAGCTAAGTCTGGTACAAGATCACAGGTGTATGACACTTAGTGAGAACTGTACTTACTGAAATAATAATGCTCCGTGAGATTAGTTTGTTAGCTAGCAAACCCTCCACTAAATATGCAGACATCTTTTTGTATATCAATAGAAATGCCTTTACAATTGATGTACTTCTTGGCATCAATGATACTATTTTTCCAAAAATAAATCTAGAAGTTTAGCAAATGGTAATGGTAATATTAGCTGTTTCCCTATAAGGAAACATTTGGCATTTGTTGACTGAGCAGCCAGTACTGTTTTCAGTTGAAATTTATAAAATCTTTCTCTTAAAACACATTTTTAATAAAACAGGTTTCTCAAGTCCAGTAACTGTTATTGCTCTTTCCAGTATTGATGGTGGTTTCCTTCCTAACCTTTTATTTGAAGTAGTGTGCAATGTTAATATCTTAATTATATCATTAATTTCTCTTCATCCATTTTAGTTGTTGCTGCTGTTGATAGTCCTCAAATGATATGGTTTTTGTTGTCTGGTACAGTTCTTTGTTTGTATTCTGTAGCAACAGTCCAAAAGGTTCAAAGCAGAATGAACTTTGCCAAGACCCACAGGCTTTACTTGCTTAAAGCCTTTTTTCACTATAGATCTTAGGATCTTTGAAAGTTTAGATATTTCTGAATGGATTTGCCACCATGCATATGGCATCCATATAAAAATCTCAATCTGACAAGGCTATTTAAGAATATAACTTGAGTTTTCAGGTTGATGTTTTGGTTTTGTAACAATTTGTGGTGTTGGGTGAAACTACCTCTGTCACAGCCTATTCTATCTTCAATTTCTTTTCCTCCTATAATTAATTTGTTATAGCTGATCCATATGCCGATATATCTAGGTTACTTTTTATTTTTACTTATTTTCATGTCTATTCTTTTCTTTCAATATTTTAAAGTTAAAAATGAGGTGCTTTCTGGACATGAGGCAATATGGTAATTGACATAAGATAAAGAAAGTAGTATATTCTTTTAAATTTTATTATCCAAGCATGGTTCTGTTCACTCCCACATACTTACAGATATTCAATATTTCAAAAACTATGATCAAATTCTGGTAGTTTTGTTGCTGAACTAAAAAATATTCTGATGACAGGTTTATTCTGAAGATTTAAGTTTCTTTTGTTTTTGTGAGTAGCACTGAATGATCTTCCATGTAAACAGTTAATTGTCTCCAGAGCTGCAGGTTGGGAGAAAAATGGTTGTTCCACCTGCATTCTGGGTCGACGATGAAAGTAATAGCTTCAGCTCCTCAAGTAAAGAATCCTGCTTTGTAGATAGAACCAAGATGTAGATCCTTTGATTTTCTATCTTGGTTGCCTGGGGTAAAGGCAGTGATGTCTTTGATTGCCATCTTCAGAGATGCACTTTATCAGCATTTACTAACTCATCAAATGAGTATCAATTATCTGTGTGTGTCTGTCAGCAGATTCAACCATTGCATTGTTATATACATGCACATCTACATGAGAATGGCCATCATGCAAAAAGAGAGAGGCAAATGCTTCTTGTTCATCATGTGAAGTTAACATTTTCATTTCTACAGTTTAAAGAATCTTTCTCACATCCTCAATCTCTGGAGAATACTTTTGAATCGTTATTGATCTCATTATCTGCAACTATATGACATGTGTGTACACACAGACACACAGACAAACACATACAGACAAAAACCTTGATTATTAGATGATTTTAAGACATAAAGGATCAAAGAAATTCCCAAAACATGTTTATAAATAATCAATAGTTGATGAGCAAACAAAAGTTATGAGCAATTTTTTTTTCTAAAAAACATCAAGATAAAAACAAAAACATAATGTTTCTGTGACAATCAAATATTGATTAGAAATAAGCACACTCTTTATATTTACATTTGTCATTTATTAGGACACCTACCATAGCACAATAGTAGTCCATTTCAATAATGTAGTAAATTTCTCACATATTAACCCATTAATGTAGCCCTGTGCCAGACTAAGATAAGCAAAAATACACAAACACACATATATATTGGGATGGCCAAAAAGTTTGGTTATTAAGTAGAAAATTTACTTCATAAACTGAACAAACTTTTTGGCCAACCCAATATATGAGAATATGCTGAAAAGTTCTCAACCTGATTCACTTCCTATGAGAATGTTTCAGCATCACCTTACATACACACACACACATACACATACATACATATATAGATAGATAGATTGGGATCATATACAGCAGATCAAATATGGATCATAATCTAACAGAGTGATAAGATAAAGAACAAATAAGAAACATTTATCAAATCTAACATGTTTCACTTTTATTAAAGCTTCATCAGAAAATGAGATATGGAGAAAAAGATGAAATTCTAGTCTTTTTATTTTTGTGTTTGATTTTCATTGGTTAATCAGGTTTCATGTGCATTCAACTTGTTACATAAATGTTAATATAATTTATGGCATTCCAAATTCAAGGAGAGATCCCTTCGAATCTCCAAGAAATTAATGGATTCCAAGCCATAAATATTGCTTCTTGTATGTAAGTGTATAATAATTTAGTATACCTATGTAGGATATATATATATATATATATATATAATATAAATATATATATATATATATATATATATATATATACCTGCTTTAGAGTGATTGTTAAGCTAGTCTCACAAGCCACATTGATATGTAGTACAATTACTAAAATATGAGTCACTTTTCCACCTTCAGAAGTTTTAGATATGTTGACTCAGTTCTTTCTAAAATTAACAAAGACTAGTGTTGTCTGTAGTTTCATGAATTATTCAAATTAGCATTCTCATTTTATAGATGGAACCCCCATTCACTATAGTGAATATTAAAAAGACCAAGGAATAGAAAGAAAAACTAGACAAGGTGATTAATAAGAAAAATTAGTAAATTATCAAGGTAATACTTTAACAGGAAAGACATTTTTACAGGCTTCACTCACAGCTATTTTGAATGATGTTAAATGGCTTGAAAAGGAAGTATGTTTTTGCTTTATTTTTTTGTTTTGTTCAGACAGGTCTCTATTCGCTATTTCTTTATTACATTTGTTTGTTTTTTATGTCACATTTAATTAACCTGCTAGCCACAGATATGCAAAGCAGTGCTTACTTCTACTGAGAGATACAATCATCAAAGCCACTTTTTCATTCTTGACAGCAACTAGAACAAACTGTAATGAATGTGGAAAAAACACATTAGGCAAAAGCAAAGAAAGAAAATTTGTTGTTTTTAACCTTATTTTGCAGTTAAGAATAAATTTATTAATAAATGATTAATTTAGTCCCCAAAAATTCAATGGTACATCAATTTAATCCATTATGGTCAGAAATTAATAAACCCTTATTTTATTAATGAACTAGCAGCATTGCCCGGCATTGCCCATGCTTGATTCAAAAATCGTATGACTCATACAGCAATCGCTATCACTTGACTTATATATATTTTTGCCCTTCCTTACCTTTAAAGGAGTGCCCTTTGCCGTGCTGATGTTGCTACATGCCTTACTTCTTGCCTATCTCACACTGCAAATTTTTTTTAAGATCTATACTAAACATTAAATCTATTACGAAAAAATAACTAAACAAAATGAACACAAAACGATCAGATTTAAAAAAGGACTCATTACTGGAAAAACTGAATGAAAAAAGAATGTTAACAACAAATACTTTTTCACACCCAACCCAGTTCTGCGGAATAAGAATCAACATTGAGTTTAAGCAAGCGAATGAGCCAAGTGGAGTAAAGTGCCATGCAGATTTAAATTTTTCCCACTTGTAATGAATGCAGCTATCAATTTTTTTTTGCATGCTAGCATGCTAGTTAACATTCATGTCAGTCAGCTGTTGGCTCTCACGCTGGCCAATAGAATCTTCCTGCCTATTCGTGGCAGCCAGATATAGGCTCTCACTCTGGCCAGTAGAAAATGGCCGCAAACTACATGAAAACTGCTGTAGAAGCAGAAAAAGCATTGAAAAAATGATTATTTCCACTATCGATGGGATGTTCATGTAAATGCAAAGTCTGTCTTGGCCTTTCCACACAACTTGGAGCATGTTCATGATAAATTTTGATAGTGCAAATATAATAGAAAATTGCAGCCGTGCATTAATATCAAAACACACACACACAGGTCTCACACACACCCTGCATTTTTATAGATAGAGATAATTGAAGAAGTATAACAAATTAAAATTTTAACCTTTAAATTTTATAATCCATATACTAAAAATTTATTCTTAATATACCAGTCATTCTTTAATTAATACAATTTAATATCAAAATTAATATATATTTTGTTTTATTTTTTTGTTTTGTTCAGACAGGTCTCTATTCACTATTTCTTTATTTACATCAAACATTGAAAGATGTTATATACAGTACACATAGTAAAAGCAATATGAAGTCTGAAGTGTATATTTTACATGCTTTATATTGATTAATAGTTGTCAGGAGGACATCATTCTTATCTACCTGTTAAATTTATCAAGAAATGTAAGAAATATATATATATAAAATACGGCATATATATATTTAAATTGATAGGTAGATAGATACAGACTGTCACCATGATGTGCTGGTTCTTATGTCTATACTACCTATATCTGTACATTTAATGTCTGAGAAATAGGTTAATTTTTTTCTTGAAATTACAATAATTTTCCTTCTTTTGGTTTTTAACGCATCATATTTTTCTTTGTACAGTTTAAGTGCTGGTTATGCAGACATTGCTGGTTGCACAAGCAAGGATGATGGATTCACTGGAGAAACATTTGGTTTGTGTTCAATCAATTCAATCAGGACAAAGATTGACAAACTCTCAAGGTAAGGAAACTTCTGCATGGTTTTCAGTATTGCTTTCTTGCTTTCTACTTATAGTATTCATGTCTTAACAAAAAAAAATCATAGTCTTGGGTATTTAAGTTTAATTTACAAAGAAAATACTACTACAAAATCAATAGTACAATAATGTAGGAATATATACATATTTCTATTCTAATTTCACATCTGAGATGACATATATGTTAATTCCCAGACATGTTATTTGGATTTCAGGACTAATGCAGCAAATAATGAGAATATGGACTTACAACTCAAGAACAAATCTTATTCCATTTATAATCACAAGATAGTTTCTGTTACCAAAATGTATAAGAATATCAGGATTGAATTATTTGCAAGATTTTTGTGAATAGCTCATCAAATAATAATTTGTAGAGGTGAAGTTTTGCATGCAAGACATAATGAGAACACCTCAAAACTATAGTTGAAGAAAATTTGTGTCTCTGTTCTGACACAATTAGAACATAGATACATCGAGACACAACAGACAGCTGGCTAAAGTGTCAAGTCATATCTAACAAAACTGGACCATACATTCCTTAGATAAGGGGTTCTAAAAAATAGTGAAATATTTTGAATGAATTTCATCAAGGTTCATGTTCAGTTTTTAAACACTAAAATATATTCAGCATCTGCATTCACCTAATCAAAAAATCTTATTTCAAGGGACCATTATGTCTTATACCTGCTTATCTTAAAAGAATTTCAATAATCAAAAGACCATACTATATGACAGAAGTAACAAGCTCTCTACAGACATTATATATTTATCAACCTGGTCTCCTCTATTTGCAATGTTCTGTTGTTATGGCAACATAGAAACTACTTGAAGTTACCATAAAAGTAGAGTTCTCTTAGATTGTAAAATAATATGATAATAGTTAATTATATAGCTAAATATATAATCAAATAGAATTTAATATGACATTCTTAATGAGAACTGTTAAAAATTCTGTAGAAATGGAGATTGTATTTAGTTAAGGAAATGTTTGTTTATAATGCATTTAAAAAATGATAATTTTTTTTTAAATCTTGCAGTGAATAAATTTAAATATTTGTAAATTTGTTAGAGATTCTAATATATTATTGATTGTTTTCTTTTAATTAGGTAGGTTGGTGAGTCTGTATTTCTATTTCTTTCTTAACAAATGATGCAGAAGCAGATGATAGCAGCACTGATGTGAGTGATACAATGGATTTAATGAAAATACTGATGTTTCTTAATGAACCATTATCAAAACCCATTATTCAGAACTGGAAAACAGAATTTTTAAGTACATGTATTTTGTACCTGTAACAACCACAGTTTCAAAAAAGTGATAGTAGGTAGATGCTCCAGCATTATATATAACTAACATAGTAGCCATAAAGAAATATAAGGGATTATTTATGTAAGGAGAAATTAAACTAATCTCTCTCTCTATGTGTGTGTATATATATATATATATATATATATATATATATATATAATACAGCATGTGTATATATTTAGATAGATAAAGATAGTCACAATGATCTACTGATTCCTATGTTCACACTACTTATATCTGTACATATTCCAATATTAAGCACATTTCCTTAAAGATATAGCAAGTTTATATATATATATATATATATGTACAAAAACTTTATAAGGAAGAGTGTTTAATATTGAACATGTACAGATATAGGTAATACATAAAACAATCCATATATTCAGTTAAAAGTAAAAATAAAATTCACCTTTGATAAGGTAAAAGTATAGCCGAAAGTGCTCAGACATACAAAACATTTGAACAGTTTCTACAAAATTTACGTCCAGAATAAAAGAAAATTATAAGAACAAATGAAAAGTTAATTCAAAAGACAACTGCAGTACTTTGTCAGTCATTTTAAAGAGAGAGAGAGAGAGAGAGAGAGAGAGAGAGAGTGCACAAGGTAACTGAAAACAAAGAAAAACAAAGTTATTCAACAGAAAAAAATGACTACATTCAAAAAAGAAAATTGCACACATGTTCAAGTGAAAAAAACAGAAAATTGTTATTCAAAACATAAGCAAAGTAATTTCTGAAGTATAAACAAAAATAAATCCATTAATTCTTTAGAAATTGCTTTGTTTATGCTTCAGATAGAAAATCAAGCTAATATTGGCTTTTGAGAAAATCTAAATGAGAGGATGTGCATTTCTTAAAAGGGTAAATACAACCTTGCTAGACTAAAGCATGCTGGATGAGACAGTAAACTACAAAGAGAGAAATGTTCAAACCCTGATGGAGAACACATTCTCTATATTAGATTTTCATCTGTGTTATGACCAGTAATCATAACACACTATTTAAAATATGGTGTATTTATTCAAACAAGGGTACCCACTAAAAATAATCTTTGAAGTAATATTATATTTCTACTGAAACACACACATATATGTGTGTGTGCAACAAATTTCCCAAAGCTTATGTATATTACACTGATTCTATGCAGACAGCCAGGGAACAATATTTTGATGTTAGAGTGCACAGATACTTTGATCTTAGCCAGAAGTGCCAATCAATATATAAATAACCCCAACAGTTTTGATGGGTACTATAGTAGTGTCAGAATGTTCACATTGGCATATCATTGATGACTTAATTATGTTCTTATTTAAAAAGTGTTTCCTAAATTTCCTGATTTAAGCTACACTTGCATCTCTAAAACTAAAAGCATTAAGGATGTGTAGTATGTAGATTCAAAGGTATTTCTCAAGTTCTATAAGTGTTGCTTGTATTGACACAAGAACAAAAAATGTCTTCAAATAGAATAACAAGAGTAAAATTTATAAAATTCTGTGATTTCTCTCATATATTCTTATTTAAACCTAAATTTGAACATTTAAGATAGTTAGCTTGGGCCATGGTTTTAGATATCTCAAAGACATTTGACAGGGTTTTGTATGCTGGTTTTCTTCCAAAGCTCAAGAGCTATGGTGTTTCTGACAATATTTGGCTTAATCCAATCATTCTTAACAAATCATGTAATGAAAGTCATGTTGAACAGTCATGCTTTTAGAACCTTTGACATTAATGCAGTTGTGCTCCAGGGCTCTATCCTTGGGCCTATGTTGTTTCCTATCTTCATCAATAATCTGTCTGATGTCATCAGTTCCCAAGTTGGTATTTAACTGATGACCCAACTATTTATTCTTACCTTAATAATAATTCCAATGACAAAATTAGCAACTGCTCTTGAAAATGACCTCCAATCAATTGTTAACAGGAGCAAGGAATGGGTTCTTAATTTTAATGCCTCCAAAATGAAAATGCACTCTTTTAATTATCTTAAGGAAACTTTTCTTGCTTCCATCAGCATGGCTGATATTAACCTCCAGGAGAGTGACTCATTTTCGCTTTTTCAGGCTAACATTTCCACCGACATGAAGTGAAATGATTATATTGAATCAATTGCTACTTCTGCTGCTAGGGAAGATACTTCCCTGTATTAAGATAGATAATTTTTCTCACCAGAATCCATCTTACACGCTGATAAATCTACCATCTGTCCATGGATTGAATATGCTACCATATCTGGTTTGGTACTCCTGCTATATGTCTACAGATTTTCAACAAAATCAAAAGAAATGTTTATAATGTTATCAGTCCTGACCTGGTATCTTGGCTTCAGTCATTTTCCACCCACCATGATGTGGTTCCCCCTATATTTTTTCTATAAATAATTTTAAATTCTTCTAATGAGCTCTCCTTGACCACATGAATTTAAGCATACTACTTTATTTGCAACTAGGGTTCATCATTCTACTGTTGAAATAGTTCTATTCTAATAGTTTCTTTTCTTGCACTTCTTGCTTGTGAAACACTCTTCCAGTTTCTTGCTTCCCTGCCACTAAGATCTTCAAAAATTTAAATTCATCAATCGCCATCTTCTGCCTTCTTGAATCTTATCTTTTTATTTACCTTCCTTCTCATTAAAGTCTCCTCATTCCCTTTCACTCTCAGTAACCCCCTGGCATCTTAGCAGCATTATTGCCTTGACTGGGGTGAAAGGATTGAAAAAAAAAAATGATGATAATGCTTGCAATTAATCTTTTTAGTTCATAATAGAGCAGAAATGTCTTCCCACTGAACATGAGCAAAATTTGAACATTTTTCAATTCATAATGCTAAAAAATTTAAGACTCAATGGGACTAATTACTATTACAATGTCTGGAACAAGACATATATCAAGATCAATAGAAAAAAAATTATAAAGCCATCACAAGTATTTAGATGTGTACAATGAATGGAAAGAGGATGAAAATTTAAATCTGTTAAGTTGGAAATAAAGTTTTCAGAAATTAAATAACAGAAATTATCATTTTGACATGTGTGTTTTTGATTTCTCTGAAGTATACACATGAATTTTTGGACACAATTACTATGATTGATAAAAAGTAGTGTCTGTACACATGCAAATGAAGCTAAATAGACAAAGGTACTACTACCATAGCCAGATTTGCATTTTATGCTTTTGGTGGTGGGGATTTGTTTTGATTTTTAATCATTTCACTCCAAGCAATGCAATAATACCATTAAGACAAAAGGAGTTTCTGGAGTGAAAAAAAAATGAGATTTTAGAAGGAAGCAGGAAACCCAATCTTAAACAAGAAACAAGAGATAAACCTCTAATCCTGTTCAAAAGACAAAAAGGAGTGTAAACCAGGTTATGGGCAAACTTAACTACTATTGCTTAATTCTCATTACTGCTCACAGTTGAAAAGGTTGACCAAACAATGTACACAATTTCACAGAAATTTGCATAAAAATGCCATTTTGCATATTGTATAGATAACCTATGAAAAAGTACTATAACTATCTTGAGAACATCTGTCTTGCCCACCTTATTTGCCTAATTCAGCACTCTCCAATTATTATCTTTTCCAATCTGTGTTGCACCAATTGAATAATCAAGGCTCACATTAAAATATAATTAGTAAAATAGCACAAGTCTTCATTTATATAAAACTGAC